TAGATGATCGAGAATTGAACCCGCCCTTTCCGCACTTGAGCCCGAAACGCTAACTAGGCTAGCAACAAATCCTTAGGTTAGACTCTTGGTTCAATATAAGAGTAATATTTTGCAGTAAAAGACACTGCGTGTTTGAAAAGTCGTATTTATTCTATTGGTAAGTAATACAACTTAAGTTTATTATCGATGCTGAGTTTATAATCAATGATCAATTTTATTAATCGGAATAAACTTTTCTTTTGTACTGTATTTCTAACAAATTAAATCTTTGTTCACGCAAAAGTTACTCGTATTATTCAAGCTTTACTATTCGCCTTAATATTTTTAACACGTATAGACGAAAAACCGATACATTAACCACATTTAATTTTCCAATTGCCAAGTATAGTATAAAGAAGTCTTCATAAAATATAATGTCTTGATGTTCCTGGTAGGTATTATGCCACAATTAATTGTCATTAATGTTACTGGGGAGCGATCTGGTGGTAGAGCTGGCGGACCCTGGCTATCACCAATCCCGCCAATCACAAATTGATTTTGAATCATCCTGAAGTAACGTGTAGAACAGTTCCGGGCTTCATCCTAGCGTCTTAGGATGAGAGGGTGGGAAATAAAAAAATAATTTTACATGTCTCGCATCATTTAGATACATCAAAATTAATTTTCGGCGTTTTAAGTTTAGCAAGAATTTCCATACAAATTTGTCTAAAGAATTATAAATTTGTCTACTTCCTCAAATAGTTGTGATTGTAAAGAAAGGCAAATTTGCCCTATTGAGTGTATTTCAATATAGCGGCTAAAAAAATCCCGGGACCGTTAAATATTTAAAAAATAATCAAGATAGAGCTTGTTAAAAAGTTACTTGGCATTTAAATCATTCTAATACATTATTCTGTGATACATTACCTCTTCAGGGGAACGACCCGCTAGGAGTCAGAATATAATCTAAAGTGTAAGCATAGGTTGATGTGTATATCAAATTAAAGGTATTCACTAACAGAATACAATTCCACAAATTTTAATGAAAATTGACAACCGAGTAGAAAATGGCAGTCGTTCAAAGAAATCATGATTCTGCCATTTTCAATCTTTGAACGGCTGTCAGTTTTCACTCAGTAGTTCTTTCTGGCTAAAATTGACAGCATTGTATTCTACTAACAAAGACCTTTAATGTGATGTGCATATTGACCTATGATTACGTATATGATTTTCTCCTGACTTCCAGCGGGTGCCATCTGAGGAGTTGGCATAGCGGCATTGTATTTAACTAACAAAAACCTTTAATTTGATATGCATATCAACCTATGCTTACTTTCAGATTTTCTTCAGTGGGCCACCCCCAGAGGAGGTAGCGTATCAATAAATAATGTGTTACAATCATTTTAATGCTTAATATCTTAGCACCAAGTTTTGTACCAATCATGATTATTTTTTAAAATATTAAACTGTCCCGGGACTTTTTTCCACTCTGTATATACCCAGAGGAGTAGTTAGCGATGTTATGATAACCCATTTTGCCATCGTTTGAATACGTATATTAACTAGACCATCAACCACACTTAATATTACAGTAAAAAATGAAGTCAATTTGTAATGATAGGTATTTAGGGAGTTAACTGATGTTATAATTGAATAAAGAAATATGAATTGACAAATTGATTTACAATATAACCATGTTTGAGTTACGAATCCCACTTCATGTTTTTTTTATATTTTTCAGTCCCAAGAATATAATGAAAATCCATCGAGTACAGCTGAAGCGATGGAAGTGAACGCTTTGAATCCAATACGCAGGCCGCTCTTCCGTGCATGGGAGGATGCTCATTTGATAAACGTCATTGGTATCAATCTACGAGAAGGAGTGGGGGATGGTGGATACCGTCCAGAGGATGACCAAGTAGCAAGCCCCCGGCCTATATACTCTGCAAATAATTGGCGAAGAATCCGGGAACCAAATTACCCGATATTATCTCCAGAGGACGATCAAGAAGTAATCTGTCTACATCCCAAGAATACACCATATCCATTACCTTTGCAAAGAATTGAACCAAATAATTCTCCAACATTCCGGGAGGTTGACCAAGAAGCAAGCAGTTTACACTCCATGCATATTCGACCTCCACCACCTTTGCAAAGAATGAATCCAATTAATCCGCCAAATTCTCCCGAGGTCGACGAAGAAGCAAGGCGTTTACATTCCATGCATATTCGAACTCCACCACCTTTGCAAAGAATGGAGCCAAATAACCCAACATTTGATTCGGTGGTCGACCAAGAAGCAATGCGTTTACGCTCCATGCATATACGAACTCCACCATATTTGCAAAGAATGGAACCAAATAGCTCAACAAATTCCGTGGAGGTTGACCAAGAAGCAAGGCCTTTACGCCCCATTAATCCTCATTTTGGAATAAGGTACATCCCATCTCCTCGGAGGACCGTAATATTACGCTCCCGACCTTACCCTCCACCTCGACAATCTTCGCCTCGCCCTTTCCCGCCTCAACAATCTTCACGACGTCAACTTCTTCGTCGCCATCTTCCGCCCCCTCCATCCCGCCAACATCGATATCGGCAACCTCCTCCTTACCAACCTGCGCCCCGCCAACCACCACGGAACCAACCTCAACCACGCCAACCCTTGTCTCAGCGACCTCAACCTTGGTTGAACCAACATCCGTCTCGCAATCTTGTATCGATCCAGTCTTCCGCTGGCCAACATTCGGCTCGTGAACGTCCGCCTCGCCAAGATATGCCAAACCAACCTCCACCGAGTCCTGTAACCGACCACCAGAATTTGCAAGGTTATGTGGATATAAATAACAACCAACTTCCAACACCTCATATTGAACATCAAAATGGTGACCAGTTGAATTTCCAATTACGTTTTGGAACGATGAATCCCGTTCCGAATCCAGTTTATCATCAGTCGGCCCCAGGGGGATCTTCTACAGTGTGAACTACAAGACTCCAAATAGTCACACAGCTGATAGTCATGGACCACACAATCATCATTGCTGGTTTGACCCCAAAGTGTCAAGTTGCGACAGCGGTGGTCCTACATACTGCAGCGTTCCTAAGTCTTGAGTTCCAAATATTTCTAATATCGTTACCACCTGAATGGTGTTTAGCTTCATTATATATGTTTTATGGGGATAGTATTTTATTTAGATAATGCACCAATGTAGTTAGTTAGTACCGTAATGAATATTTTACCACTTGAAAAAATAATAAACGTATAGTTCCCAATATACGAGTACTAGTGTTACATGTATTTTTATACTGTAAATTTGGCTGCTAATCACCAAGTTTCTACAACAAACTTTATACACTAGTCTCTTATTTAATTATTTAATGATTCAACTGATTCTAAATTTCAAAAACTATTGACCATACCACGAATTAATCACATTAGTAGGTAGATAAAATATTGTTATGTTCAATTACATTACTGTATATTATATTATGGTATATTAAATATTATCAACATTTGTATTAGTAGTTGATAGGTTTTGTTTATTCCGTCCATTTTTAGGAGTGTTAAAAATTTGTAGTGCTGATAAATAAAGATAATATTGCAATAAAGATTATGTATACTAATATCCAGACATGTATATTGTATTTCAGAAAAATGCTGTGCCGTTCATTACAGCTTCTTTAAAAACTATTTTCTTGTTACACACATTTCACATTTTTACCAAAATTGCAACCGAGATTACAGAAGCAAACATTATTTTTATATGTATTTCGTTAATATTGCTTTGTTCATTTTAATTAAATACAGTTGTTTGAAATAATATGAGTGATTTTATTTACAGTAAATTAGCACCTGTTAGTGGTTTCTTAGTCTATGAATAAGAGAGCCTTAGTAAAATATAGTATTTAATATACCTAATCAACTCTACACACTTTGATGAATGCAAACATTTGATTAACACAAATATTGTTATTGTGTGATGAATATACAGTTAAACTAGATTCAAAAATGACGTAATTGATAACTTATAAAAACTGCCAAGTCAAATTAAACATAACACCCATAACAACTGAACTTTAACTGGAAACAATGCGAATCAATTACCAAGTTGTCTGATTTAAAGGTCATCCTTGGTGGCTGAAAAGTAACTTGCACCCCTCCCACCCTTTTCCTTTTGAAAACTTAGAGATGTTTTAAATCAGTTTGCGGCAACCTTAGAAATGATGGGCTACAATAATAATGGCTAATTTTGAAAAATCTGCCTTTAGAAATTAACTAAGGGTAGATGGGGTAGGGGGTAGATCAAAACTTTCAAAAGGCAAGAATAGTACAGTTTGGTATAATTTTACAAGTCTTGACGAAACTGAAAACTTGACATAAAGAAACCCAAATTCGGACCACTAATAATAAAATGGCGCCTTAAAACTTATCTAAATCTATAATGGCCTAATCATAATCCTAATCCTAAAATGGTAGCTAAAAATAACTATGACAATGGTAATCTTTAACTGCCATTTTGTTATTAGTCGTCCGAGTTATATTTTCTTTATGTTGATTGCTTAGTTTTGTCAAGAAATGCAAAATGATACTACCACTTGAACATTAAATATACCAAACTTGACTATACTTGACATTTGAAAATTTTCAGCTACCTCCTACCACCACTGAAGGGCAAAATTTTCAAAATCAACCATCATTATTGCCCGTCATATCTGAGAAGGTTGCCGCAAACCGATTTCAAATATTTCAAATGTTTGAAAAGTTGGGGGGGTTTTTCATCCACCCTGTATATTAGACTAAGAAATTTATGCCAGTAATGAAGGAGCTCATATATAATTGTACTACACATACATTTTTGCAAGTCCACAGAGGTCTAATTTTTGATTCAGTGAAAAGTGGAAACATGAGATTTGCTTAGTGTGTCATGTAGGGTGGTCTGTGAGGGGTGGGGGGTAACACCCCCAACCACCCAAAATCACCCACCAATCAGACCGCTGTCCTCAGTATCTTAGTCCGCGTCCGAATTTAACGGTGCAACCTGTTCATCATCAATTTTGGGAACCAACGATATACCAACTCTAAAAGTTGTAAGTAATTTAACATTTATGAAATTTTCTTAATCACTGGAAGTTAATTTAAGATAAAACAAATCGTAATCTTAGGTAAAAGTAAAAACAGTTTGTATTTGTTTGGAAGTTAAAAACTTTTACAGATGAAAATTTAGTAGAAAGATAATTCATACTAAGAGTACATCTGAGTCAACAGTCCAACAAAAAGTGTGCGCAGCAAATATTTCAAACAAAAATATAAACTATTTGGTACATACAACGTATACAGGTTTTTGCTAATTATTTTACTGTTTAAAAACTATTAATTTGCTTTGCAACGAAGAGTTCGTACATTGGTTTCTCTGTCAAAATAATGCACCAAATGGCACAAGAAGAAGAAAAAAGAATCTAAAAGTTATACAGTATCTATCATATTAGGTTTTCAAGTAAATAAACTCATGAAAACTCATTGAGAGCCCATCAATAACCACACTGAAAAGTTGATCATAAACTTTACAAACAATTTTATTCAAAATTATAGTGTGTTAGTTTTGTGTGTTTTAATTTTGTTACGGATTTTACTTGTTAAAATTGTTATAACTTCTAGTACAAATCCTTGATACTTTAACTCTGTTCTAACCGAGATAAACGTAATTATATGGAAGAATACATTTCAACAACGAAAACAGCTGATCTTATTAATCAGTTCTTCAAAAGGCTACACAGCTGACTTGAAATGCATTACGTAATCTGTAAATATTGAAAGGATAGTATAGCATTTGATATATCTCTGAACAAAATTCATACGACCTGAATGTACTCAAAATGATAGTCTTATACAAGTAAATTATACTGAGCATAGCTTTGCTCTTACATACATTTCTGAGGAATACATTTTTTTAATACCTTCATTTGTTTAATATATTTACAATCATGAATGTGCTAATATCTTTAAACATAGGTGTCAATTTAATTGAATAATTGTTATTTAAAAAAAGTGAAACTTAATCAAAGCATATTATATTATTTTGTTTTATATTTTTCTATGATAGTTAAATTTCATCAGGTCGAGTTGCATTTTAAGAATATTATTTTAAACTTGTTATAAGAGCGGCTAATGATAATACAACTTCCCAAAACAATATAAACACCTGCATTTTTTGTAGAAGTTTCCAAATTATGTATCATATTATTAAGACCTTAAAGTAACTTAATATTATTTTTAGTATTACAAATAACTGGTAGCAAGACACTGGTAGCAGATAGTTTTTAGGGTAATATTGCTCTTTTTCTTCAATTTTACTCAAATTAATAACTTCTTTCGTACATTTTTAAGTTAAACTTTTGTTCAACTGTGCGATTTTGCAAACATACATGCCTCTAAAATGTTAATACTTCGCATTAATAGTGTTAGTAGTTAATTTAAGTAAAATCTTTACACTTGAGATAGAGAATTCCGTTATAATCTTGAGTGAAAGACCCATTCCGGTCTTTTATAACTAAATAATATGTATTTTTTATTATCAATAAAAAAGAACAGTAGAAGGGATTGTCGAGCTTGTAGTTCACAGCCTAAATAAATGTGAACCTCTAAGCGTTTACATTTGCATTGGAGACAGAGAGTTGGCAGCTATCTCAGAGAAAATGTTGTCTAACACTCTTCCCTTCATTACGGTATGTTAAAAACTCTTACATCATAAACACCCCCTACACATCATAAGCTACTGTGAAAGCTTAAATCATATCTCCTCTGTTTTTTGGGTGGATAAATTAGTGGTACTTAAAATATTCTCAAAGTATACAAATGTTCAATTAAAATTGTAATCGGAATAATGTCAAGAAATGTTATTTAGTTTATTTTAAAAATGTGTAGGCCTACTATGGATACAATTCTCTGGATGATTAAATACACATTTTATTACAAACAATGACTATAGTTATTAAAAATAATAAAAATAAATATGGGAACATCTAGGTCCGGGCTATATCAAAGTCAAAGAACTAAATTGATAGTTGTAATTAGCTAGAACTAAAAGTTTGTATTACCTTTGACTGTAAGTATTGGTCATGTGCTTAACAGAGAATCTTGCTTGCAAAATATTGTTTTGAAGAACAATAATGTTTTAAAGTTTAATTGTCTATGAGTAAATGTATAACCGTTCATTCTAAATAGCTTCTTTACGAAGGGAATTCGTAATTTCTCGATTACAGACAACCTGAATAAAATGTTATTTTGTTTGGCTTTTGCAAGGAATCTATATCTATAAATATTTGTTGACATATTAAATTTGTAAATTTATCTGAAAAAAAAAAAACAAAAAACACTAACAATCTGTAGTGTTCAAAGGAGGTATTTTCTTACATTCATTGTAAAAAACTGGATTTAAAATTATGAATACGACTATTAAACTTAATAAAAGACTTTTTGTTATACATGGTTTGGTTTCCCAATATGTTTTGATAGGTTTAAGTGGAACATATGTTGTAAACAATATATATTTGACTATATAATAGTGTATCACATTTTGAAATATTTGTCTCAAACATACAAATGAAATTGGATTGTTAAAAATTTTCTAAAATAAAACAGTCGATCTATTTATCTAAAATGCTTGTAATACTCATTTATAGGAAATTTCAATAACATAAAACACGATTATTTTTACTTATTTTATACTAGTGTCAAACATTTTGAAATCGGAACTATAAATTTCAAATACACTAACAATGAACTTGACATTGATGGCTCCCTGTCTTTGCTATACAATGTCAGACATACAACACTCAACAAAAGTTTAAAAAAAATCACCTCAATCACAACAATTAAAAGTGTATGCAGATTATAATTCTTGTCCCGTCTTTTAACCTGTTTTTTTCAAGTGCAGAATTCATCAAAGTAATAACCATTTATACATATGGCAACACAATCCTCATTGTATAGTATAGGCCTACATTCAATTACTGAGAAAAATTCGTATACGATGACTTTGAAACTAGATCTGTTCTTAAGCCATATGTATTATGGATCATTGTATTGAAAATTCAAGAAAGATATAACATATTTTGGTTTAAAATGTTTCGCAACCCACCCAGGACCTACCGGACTATGTGAACTGAGGGATGGTGTCGGATGTTCCTTTCTGAGGCACCTTATTGGTCGAAGCCTCCAAGGCATGGACACTGGACTTCCCAGAGAACTCTCTCCATCAACGTGATCAGCGACGGTGAGTATCAATACAGTAAAACACTAGTAAAATGCAGGGTGTCCCAGAAATCTCTATTGACCGTTTAATGTATCTGTTGAGTGTGGGAATTAACAATTAACTACTAATTAATAAGATACAAACTCGAAGTACCGAATGAAACTTAAATAAAAGACAGTAAAACTAACATGAATTACACAAATCAACAAATTAAAATTATCATGAAAGGATGACACGGAGGGTTTCTACAAATGGAGGGTTTAGTAACGAATTGAGGAGAGGCTATTAATGTCTGAATAGTGCTCACCCTTGGTCGTAGGTTGTGTAGCGTGTTGGTGTCGAGTGTCCATCGGAAGAAGATCTTGCCGGCATCACAAGAGTTAACACTTTAGAGCACTTCACGAGGGTAAATTGGAAGTAGCCTCAAAGTAGTATAGAATAGAGGTAATTAGGAAGAGGACAATATATAGTATAGAGACTAAAATGGCAACAAATCGGTAAAACGACCCTAGGAACGTACGTCGCGTCAGACGCTACAACGAGAACGCCATGTTTTTACCTCTTCCGCTTGGTAGCCACTGTCGCCAGCAACTTCAACAACAGATAAAAAACAGTTTTGCCAACCACGCAGATGAGAATTTATTAAAGCTAACACTTGTTTAAAAAATATACCAGCGAACACTGGAAAACATTGAATTAAAACTAAACCGTGTCATTCGTGGACCAAAGACAACTACGATATCACGTAGACAATTTCCAAAACTCAAAAGTACAACCACAATGATGTGTTTTCTCAAAACCTTTTTTATTTGTTAACATTTTTTTTGTGGTAAATTGAAATTTGGTACATGGATCAATAATGCAAATACCTATGTTAGAAAAAGTATTAGTTTGTATTATGTATAGTTTTAAATGTAGACCTTTAATGTTGTAAAGATTACTTAAAAACTACACTGCCAAAAAACTATTGAGGTCATTGTCACACATTATCGTCAGCAAATGTTAATAGATTTCTAACCACACCAAATAAAATAAAATCGATTATAAATAAAGGAGCAATTTAATTTATAATACCCTGGGTAAAGGGTGGCTGTACGGGTAACGTTTGAGTTTTGGAAGTTTTAAATATGACATTTTTTTCTTTTTGGCCAAGAACGATACGTTAAAAGGTCGGCAAAAAGTTCAGGGAAACCCTGTGAGTAGTCCAAACGTAGTAGGTGGAAACACAACAGGTATACAAGTTCATAGATGGTTTAATAGAGACTACATTTTAGAATATCCATTTAATGTATCGACAGATTCTGTCCCACAATGTTAGGTGCACTTTTTAGGGATGTAGTATATGTAAGACATGACCACAACAATACATTAGACATAGTTAAACCATGTAATTACAATACATGTACAACAATACATGTAAGACATAGTAGAGGGATCATATAATTACAATTTTCCAAGCAATATGTTACACTGTGAGCATAATAAAAAAATATATATAATCTTATGTAATAATTAATCGTGCTAGTAATAAACAAGCAAATAAGCAATTATTACGAATACACCCAATAACTCAAATCCGTTTATCTCAATGAAGTTTTATTATATTTTGTAAAGTTTTTAACAAAAAAGTCGCTATACGAAAAGTATTTTTTTCTTTATCAGGTATTAGTAGGTAAAGTCCATTTACATAAAATAAAATCTAAGATATAAAGTTAAATAAATCACAAGGAGGAATACGGTATATCTTTCAATTGCATAAATAGGGATTTTACAACTAAAATAAACAATGTTACTATAAATGAAACCTGAACATAACTAAACAAAGCACTACCATAGCAATGTTTTGCCAAATTTGTATTATATTTTCATTGAATGATTTGTTTTAGATTGAATGTAAAACATATGCGAATAAAACACTAAAATATAAATCGTGAACAGAACATTTCGCGGGTCTCAATGCTAAGAAAAAACAGAAAAAAAAACAAAATAATCATATTTTTGAAGCAGTAATTACTATTAAGATATTTGTCCTAATCCTATGAAAGCTGCTGATTACATAAATACTGAATGTCAAATGTTCTAAAGGCTGCTAGTTCAATCTTGCGCTAAGTCAATTCTCAACACATATGCCATTTGTCATTTTATTTACCTTCCAAAGTTCAAGAGCTAATCTATTCTATATATAATTCAGTTTTAAAAATCTTTGTACAACTAAATCTAGAGTTCTACTGGACCGATTTGATTTATTAATGGGTCGTTATAAAGCTTAATTCATGTAGATTTGCAAATAATTAAGAAAGTTTGTTTTTGTTATGATTTATGGTGAAAAATTAAAAAAAAACATGTTTTCCATAAGAAATACATTGAAAACGGTGTTTTTCACACTTTTCATTTGGGTGAGACTTTCGGCTGCCTTTTTTTAGTGTTTCCAAGAAGTGTATAGTACCAATTTGTAGGAAATTGTATTCTCTTTCAGAATATCACCTTCCACTTTGGTCGATTTTCTCACCATTTAAAAGTTATTTGCAAAAAAATCTAAGCAACCTCCGAATTTATAGTAATGAGAAAATATGTATTGAGTTTGGGATATTTTTGTTAAACTTTGTACAACTAAATCTAGACTTCTACTGGACCGATTTTGTTAATTAATGGGGCATTAGAAAGCCTAACTCATGTAGATTTGCAAATAATTATAAAATTGTGATTTTATTAAATATTTGTGGTGAAAAAGAAAAAATAACAAAAATACATTAAAAACTGCTTTTTTAAAGTTTCTGTTTGCAAGATTATATTTGTAGCCAGATTTTGGCTGCCTTTATTAAGTATTTTAAAGAAATGCATAGTAGTTATTTGTAGTAAATTTTATTTTCTTTCAGAATATCACATTAAATTTGGTCGATTTTCTCTCCATTTAAAAGATATTGGCAATAAACTAAGTGATCTCCAAATTTATAGTGGTGAGAAAATACTGAGTTAGATATATTTTTGTCAAACTTTGTATAACTAAATCTAGACTTCTACCGGACCGATTTTGTTACTTAATGGGTCGTTGGAAAGCCTAATTTGTAAAGATTTGCAAATAATTATGAAAGTTTGATTTTATTAGATATTTGATGTGAAAAAAATAAAAATAAAAAATAATACATTTAAAACTACTTTTTTCCAAGTTTATATTTCCAATTTTATATTTGTAGCCAACTTTAGGCTGCCTTTATTGAATATTTTCAAGAATTATATGATAGTGATTTGTAGGAAATTTTATTCTCTTTCAGAATATCACCTTCCACTTTGGTCGATTTCCTCACCATTTCAAAGTTATTTGCAAAAACGTTAAGCAACCTCCAAATTTATAGTAGTGAGAAAATACTGAATTAAAGATGTTGTTAAGCTTTCTACAATTAAATCTACAGTTCTACTGAACCAATTTTATTAATTAATAGGTCATTGGATAGCCTAATTTGTGAAGATTTGCAAATAATTATGAAAGTACTGTTGAGGTTGCAAGCAAGATCGTTTGGCTATAAATCGATGATAAATAACTCCATTTTTTGAACAATTTTCGTTGGTCGTGATTTATCTGTGTGCTTTAATGAAATGGAAGCTGGTATTTCAATGAAGGTTCTTAGGTCAAAACAAATAGAATAACGTAATTAGAATTAAGTATATATATTTATAAAACTAAATTCCATATTCAATATATAATCAAATTTATATTTTCTGATTGAGCGATACAGTATCTTGAACTTAACTGATTAAAACTATCAATACCTCAAGTGAAAGCCTTTGAAGTATTTTAGGACAAAGACATATAAAATAACTTAAAATAAAAATAGAGTTACGTATCATTGATTGCATATAGGTACTAAAACCATTGTAATTATTGTTGATTCGTGGTTCAGCAGTGTGCTTTAGGTAGTCCAATCTTAATAATCAATAGCTAAAATGAGAGCTGGTATTTCACTTTTAGACCAAAATGTATAATGTAATTAGAACTGCTGGAATACATCGTTAATTGAAGTGAAAAAACTCTTTCGTCGAGTAATACATTAGATAAATTAATGATGATGCTTGATGACAAATATGTGCTTGCATAGCTTTAAGAAAAAAATTATGAAAATCAGGAGGGTAGAAGAGCCCTCCTGTAAACCATCGCCCGCCTGCGAAACATTGAACTCGAAAAAAAACCAAATTTAACTCCCATAAGAAATGTACAGGGAGGCAGTTTGTGCATAACTCGAAATATACGTCAAAATGAATGCCGATGCTTGATGGCAAATTTGCGGTACGTCCATACCTTTTTAAGGCAAAAATTATGAAAATCAGTCGGGTAGAAGAGCTAACACGACTCGGAAAAGAAAAACCATTTATTTTTATAGATGGCAATAATTAGTTTACCAGTATGCATAATCTAATCATACGAAAAATGTGTTAATAATTCAACAGCTTATTGTTATATTGTTTTTAATTAATTTTTCTTTGATTAAATGTTGTTGTTAACCATTTGCATTTGTGTTTAAAGTGTGTTCCTTATGTTAATTGTGTGATTCTAATGTTATGTGCTTAAACTGTACAATTAATATTAGTGAGTAAAGTGGTGTATTGATTTCATAACCATTATTTTACTAGATACCGTTGTATTTAACCACAACGGGCACTGTTGCTAGTTTACAATAAATATATAAAGATAACGTATTCAAGCTTCTTTTCTTATAATTGATCATCTGGGAGCATAATCATCATATAGCCATATAATAATCATTGGTCCATTAATGAGTAATGATAATCAAACAAAAGGTCAATTTTAGATAGTAACGAAACCAGCGTTTGGACATATGCAAAACCTTGCAGATTATAATGGTGTTAAATGCAAGCAATAATACATAATAATAAATGCAATGATAAACCAATAGAGAGTTAATATGTGAGTCTATGAAAATGTAATTTATAACCTAATAACCTATATACTAATTACATTAGGAGAAATATTCTAAAAATGTCTTCTCTCCCACTCTATGACTTGA